CTTTTGTAGGCTCTGCGGATCTTCGGAAATTAGAACGAGATCGTCGGCAAATCTCAGATGGTTTAGTTTCGTGCCGTTAACATTCAATCCAATCCATTTAAACTTATACGTGTTATTATAGAAACAATTTAAATAATGATAATAGTAATATGTCAAGTAATTCATCATTTTGTAGAACAAAAGTAGATACTTATCTTATCTATTCATAAAAACGTTCATTGTTTCGTACAGAAAAACATTTTTACGTTATTTGTGTCTTAATCGTACAATACCGTTTTGTAAGCGGCTTTTCAAATCGTAACACAAAACTCTGATTGTGTTGCAGTACAATACGATATCAGAGTTACGACATAACAAAGAGTTCTGAAGTTTATTTCTAGCAATATATAATGTAGAGATGATAAGGAGTAAAAGGTTGGCATGGTATGGGCATATTATGAGGAATCCATCGCATGTTACAAAGAGAACGTTAGTTATGAGTTATGAGTGTGGAAGGGTACACCGGTAGAGGTAGAAAGAGATGGATGGATTGCGTGAAAGGTAACATGATCTAAAAGGGAGTGATGACTGAGATGATGTATGATAGAGTTATTTGGAGGACAAAAACCTGTTACGCCAACCTTACGGGAGTAGGATAAGGAAGATGATGTATAATCGTAACTAACAGGATATTTCTATTAAGACCTTGATAACAATTAGTCGTTTGTGTCTTCGTTTAATTGAACTTGCTTGTACGATTTTTCATTTAGGTAAGTTCTAGTACCAGTAGGTAATGATGGATAATATCGATGTGAAAAGACAAGCAGAAGGAAATAAGTTAGCAAAAGAATTAGTACTGAACACGACTTTAGCAAACAACCTTCAGGATTAAGGAAGTAGTAGAAGAAAACATTTTGGGTTAAATAATTCGTTCCCTAAAAGCACGTGAAATAGTGTTAGTATCTGAGTGTAAGTCCCGAAGACGTGGATTTTGCCGCAAGAACGGACAGACAATGCTCTCGCAAATTGGATTGCAGTTGCCTCGAGGATCGGCCGAAGTCGGTCCGTAATTGGTTGTTCAACTCGCTCGAGTCACGAGTCGAGACCGCAATCTTGAGCCCACGCCAGACCATACAAAACAATACGAAACTCTATAAATATGATTACGAATATTTTCGTTTTGTTCCTTTATTATGATAGAACAGTATCATCTTGAACAAATTATTAGGTAAGATCGATTTCAATTCGTGATTCAATTAAAGCAAATTACATTTTGAAATCGATTTTAGATGGTCATGACATAACACTCAAATTGTTTTTTTTTTTTGTAATCTAAACCATATTAAATTAGTATGACCTAGACGTTTTAAAGCATATTAGAATACACACAAACCAAAAGTATTTTATTTTTTCATTCCAACCCTAATGGCATATAACTACGCTACCTTACTTTGTTGTCTTTTGCAGTATATTATAATTGCAGATGAAGCTAGGCTATCGCTAGTTAATATTCAAAAACATAAATTATTTCTATAGTAAACAGCACAGCGAGAAGCAATAGAATTATAATAAGCGGCAGAACAAACGATGTTATATTCGAAATTGAAACAAACAAAAACAAAGCGTTCATTTTGGTATATTGGAGCGCACATTTTTCTTTCCAGATTTGAATATCCCGCGCCATTAGGACGTTGGCAGTGCGCCAACAGAGGTGCGAGTGTATTTGTAAGCTTAACATTCAAGGAAGTGTTGAATCTCGGAATAGAACTTCCACATGAAGAATCGTCTTCGTAAGTAGCAATCTTAGCTTCCTCTTTAAAACTGTTACGTTGCTTTGTAACAAGTTATTCTGATGGAAATAACGACGTCTTATTTAATAGCGTAAAAGATTAGTTGAAATTATTTAAATTTTTGCCTTTAATTCAGAATTTATCGATCTTAAAAGAAGCATCAGTTGATCTAAAAAGGTTTGTAATAAATCTTAATGTACGAGAAATTTGAGAAGATTGCAACACTAATGTATACTTCTATAGAGTTCTAAAGATTTACTATTAGAAATTACTAAATGAATAATGCACAAACGCTTTGATGTAGGCCACACGGCTGTTTAATTCGCATTGTAATTCAAACGTGTTAGTAGAAATGTAAACGAAGTGATATTTGACGAAGTATGTTTGGAGGACGGCAATGTTTACGCGCAGAGCTCTGGCAATTTTCGATCAACATAAAATAGAGACGAAATAACGTGAGGGGTAATCTGTTTAGTAGCAAATTCTCTAGGTCTGCGTTTTGTCAGCGGCCAGTGTCATTTTCACGGAAGAATTTGAACTAGATTACTTGTAGATTTATTGTTGCCTTAATTACATCGTATTCCTTTGACATCGTACTTACTAGATCTTCATTAAATGTCGTCGACATACATACTTAATTTATTTCGACGATATTATGTTTAAGTACTTTTTCTTGTGCTACAAACATTTGGAAAGTATAGCAATCAAAAATTAAAACAGATTGATAAAAACACCTGACTGAAACCGGCCTAAAAGTGTTATAACTTGCATTTACCAGATATCGGCGTAGTGTCGCTGCAATGTTAATGAAGTTAACAATCTAGACGTATGAAAGGCCGAGCCGGCCCACATCACTATGAATATACCGTGTCACCGCACGACCTATACGGATCTCGAAGTAGGCCGAGCGTGTACAGGGTTTTTCTCCGAAATTCAATACTCGATTTACTTTGATTAAAGATTTATTACTCTTTATTGAATTTAAATTTCTTCTAGTATTTCTAATTAACATCAATGCAAATTAATCACATGTAATGTTATTACTTTTATACTAACTCAATAAAAAAAAAGTAAGAGTAAGTCATAAATTAATATTTCATTAAAAAATATTGAACGCTGTCTATATCTTGTACAATTCTGGATACATTATGTATCAAGTAGGCGAGGCAGGTAACTTAGGTGACGCAAGTTATTTATTTAAATTTCAGCCTCGTCCGCAATGTCGGTCACTGTGTATTTTTTGCCAAACACTTTAATACATATTACATACATATAGGATCCGTACACTGATGGTGAAATCTATTTACAATCTGTTATGGTTTTATTTTCCAGTTAATTTTTTTATACCTAAACGAGCATTTGTAAAGCCTAGCTTTTTTATCTCATTTGGTGGCAAACCAGTAAGCGGCCACCTGAATCCGCCAAAATGGCGAAGTGACAGACTATAGACATTCGCGATAGCGGATACGCTGCCTACCCTTAATTGAAAGTGGAAGAAACGCACATAAAGAGGTTAAGAGATAAATTAAAAATAAATATTTCGAGCTTTAGTTGCCTTACTCAGAAATGAAATTTGGTCACTAAGGGATTTAACGACTTATTTTATGTTATATAAAAAAGTGCCTTATGATAAAAAAAAAACATTTAGTTTGTCGTGATCTATTGCTGTTGACTTGAAGTCGTTCTACGAGCAACTTTCCACCATGTGTTAAAAGATAAACCTGTTTTAATACAACCTTAGAGTGGTATGTTACTATCTTATAGTCATTTAACTTGTTGGGCTTTACTTTTATTAAACTTTGTTATGCTTCCGCTTTTCATCCTACTTAATATTAAAAAGGTACAATTACAATTATAATTATCTACATTTTTAATTGTCTTAAAGTAAAAAGAATTTTGTTTCTGAACGTTAAAATTTGCATACGAATTACGACCTTGAATTAGAAAGACAATTTTAAGCAAGGTCACATTTGTGATATATCCTGAGCGCAGTAAAAGAAATTTTATACAACTGTTTATTCTTTATATATAGATATTGCTAATTTATTCATTTTACAACTTTGTTATTTCCTTGTTCAAATAGATAAATGTAGAAAACCCGCTTTCGTTTTAACATTAAGTACTTTCTAACAAGTGTCGTTTCTCGGGACTATGCTAAAGAATTGTCAAGAAATTGATGAATAAAGCTTGTTATACAATAACCATTATAAGAACCTGTAACGTGAAAAAATGAGTCTAAACGGTACATTAACCCTTTCACTTTGCGGTAATATTATTTACGGGAATAATTTCGTGTACACGCCTAATAAAAGACTTCAACGATTCGTGCTATAAAATCGTATTCAAAGATGCAACTCTCCACGCTTCGTTTACGATACATTATGTTGTATTCATATGTCAGATGGTACCGCGTTTGATGCACAACCTGTATGTATAAGATAAGTTAGCTATGTATACATATGTCTCACTATAAAACCACCTTTCTCCACTCCGAATCCGCGTACGTTAACATGACCGACTAAACGAGCGGTTTCTATTTTATGTCAATCGATCTATAAACGGTATGTAATAAAGTATGAGCCGCACCTGAGCGGGATCGGCTGAAAGGGGAACCGGTGCGCCGGTGGGTGCGCCGCGACGATAGGCGCAGGAGGCACCGGCAC